AATTCCAATGATACAAATCAGCAGAAACACATTAGTGTGTCACGATAAATTAACGAATTTCAACAGCAAACAACAGTACATACTGCAGGGAAACTGGATATTACTGACCTTAAGTGCATCCAAATCAGATCCCACCTTCGAGGCTTTGATATTTACTCATGGAGAAGCAAGATCATCACTGCACGCAACAAAACAAAACAATCCCAGTTGAATCAGGCAAAACTGGCTGTAATTAGGGAGACAGTTCACCAAATGCTATCGAGTATCAAGAGAAAGAGAGAGAGACAGAGACAGAGCGGATGGATGGATGCACCGGCAAGGGCAGCCTGCGCCGCTGAATTACTACTCCGTGTCCTCCAACACGCGCTTCATGGCACCGAGCTCCGCCGCGCGCGGATGTCATGAGTCATGACCACTCACAAGCCTATCGAGCTTGAAACCGCCCCCATTGCCTCTCCGCGGCGCCACAAGCTTCCTCCTCACCGTCGTCACTGAGTAGGCCTGATCCAGTGGCCCCACGGTGCCTCAGAGGTTGGAATCGTTGGATATATACTTGGATCTGATGGAGAAGAAGGCCAAACGGGTCTGGTGGTGGAGGAGACTGGTGGATTCGATGGGAGCTTGGGGGAGGTGCCAGCCATTACTGATTTGGGGAGGTGGCCTCCCAACAGAGCGATGGTGACCAAGGCGCAGCGGCATCTCATCAACATCGTTTCCAGAGGAGAAGCGATAGGACGTGCGCCATCTGCCGCTTGTAACCCTAGCTCCACCTCTGTGCCCGCGCGATGATCTCGAGGGCACCCTACGCTGACGCTAGCTTCTTGTTGGCCACCTCGTTGGTCGTCGCTGCATCTGCGAGCGGCTCGCGCCGCGCCTCGAGAAGCAGCGCTAGGCTATTAGCGGGAGCAAGGGGGCTCGCGTCATCTGGGGAAGATGGAGAAACGGCGGTGTTATCGCGAGCGGCGGTGTTAACGCTAGGAGGATGGCACATCGAGCGAAAATAGCGGTGGAGATAGAATGGGGCCTGCGATGTGGGTGGACGGCAGGGATTAGGGCTCAGGGCGACGCAGATGCGGATGAACGGTAGGGATTTCATAAGTTGATTTGGCCTGTAGGATTGAAAGAGGTGGCTCCTCCTTTTTATATTAGTATAGATATATAGAGTAGCTCTATTATACACCCCTCCCCTAGAATAACTATTCTACACCTCCTCCCACCTCCTATCCGTCCCCACCCCCTCCCTCCCGTCGCTCCTCCCCTCCCGCGCCCCCTCCATCCCCACCTCCCTCCTTCCCCGTCGCTCCTCTCTCCGATTCCCCCTCCTCCCGATTTCTCATCCTCCCCCCCAATCTCAACTTTTCTTCTTTTTTTTTCTTTCCCTCCTTCTTCTCTCTTCCTCCTCCCGATTTCTCATCCTCCCCCCAATCTCAACTTTTCTTCTTTTTTTTTCTCTCCGTCTTCTCTCTTCCTCCTCCCGATTTCTCATCCTCCCCCAATCTCAACTTTTCTTATGTTTTTTTTCTCTCCCTCCTTCTCTCTTTTTTAGAAAAATTAAAAATACCCCCTCTCCCGTAGCTCCTTCCTCCTCCCCCCAATCTCAACTTCAAGACTTGAACCCATCTCATCCTTCCCCAATCTCAACTTTTCTTCTTTTTTTTCTCTCCCTCCTTCTCTCTTTTTTAGAACAATTAAAAATACCCCCTGTCCCGTCACTCCTCCCTCCTCCCGATTTCTCATCCTCCCCCAAATCTCAACTTCAAGACTTGAACCCATGATCTCATGGTTCATAGCGAGCACTTCTAATCAAATCACCATATGATGATTTATGACCAAATCAGTTATGTACCTATAACAATCATACCTTGTTACTATGATTCGGTAGTAACATTATCTTAGAAAGGTAGTAACATCATATGTTACTGCAAAAAGTATAGGTTGTTACTGTACACTTTATAGGTTGTTACTGCACTTTTGGCAGTAACAATATGACGAAATTTGCAGTAACAGAGAACATGCATCGTAACAGTGGCCCTATAGTAGTAATGTTTTTTTAGATCTAGAGTATTTTAAATCTCAATCTTTAGAGAGTACTAACGTACACATCATGTCTTATTTTTCTAACCCATTTGCATCATGGTGTTCGTAAAAAAAAAAGTGCTTAACGAAACTGAAACCATCATAACTATTTTTTAACGTTGTTACTGCGAAAAGCAAACGTGTTACTGCATATTGGCCATCGTGTTACTACGCTGTTCCAGTGAGACGAGAACTAAAAAAGAGGTAAATCACAATCTTTAGAGAGCAATATCTCTCACATCATATCTTGTATTTCCAATCCGTTTGCACCATAAAGTTCATAAAAAAACACTTAACGAAACTAGATCCATCATGGCTACTTTTTGACGTTGTTACTGCGATAATGCTGTCTTGTTACTGCAGGATGACCGTCCTGTTACTGCACGATTCCTACAATACGAGAGCAGCAAAGTGGTGGGCGGGTTTGACCGGTGGGAGGACGCTTTGACCGAGGTAGGAGGAGGGGTTTTGGGCCCTAGGGAGGGTGGGGGAGGTGGGTTTGACCCATGGGAGGGGGGGGTGTAGAATAGTTATTCTAGGGGAGGGGTGTAGAATAGATTCACTATATATATATATACACACACACACATACATACATACATACATACATACATACATACATACATACATACATACATACATACATACATACATACATATATATCATTAAATTTTTTAAAGAGAAACTGGTCCAGTGGCAAGATGTATCTATTGGGATGAAAACGGAGCGGATACGAATGTGTAATGCTCATACGATATCCGTTTTCATATTTTTTTGCCGGATACGAAAACAAATACGAATAGCACGGATATGGAAACAAATACAAATTATCTTGAATATGAATAAGGATCAAATATGATCGGACATGAATATGGAAACATTTTTTTCTCGGAACACGGAAACCACCTCAATTTCTAATAGAAACAAATATCATCGTACATAATTAGCTCATTTTATATAAAATATAGTATAATTTATAAAAATTATGTAAAAGTCTAATAATAATAATGTGGACTAGTGTTAAGATATGTGTTACTATTAAAATCTAAAAAGGTAGATTGAAGGTTATAGAGTTATTAAGAAATAGGGTGTTCACCGGATATCCGTATTATTATCCATATATATCGGAAACCCCGATACTATATCCGTATTCGTATCCGAACTATCTGTTTCGAAAGGTATCTATATTATCCGTTTCGAAAGGTATCTATATTCGTTTTAATTTCTCTGGAGCAGATGAAAACTATCCGTTCAGTTTTCATCCCTAGTATCTACCCACGATTTATTTTCACATTTATTTCTTACGCCACATGTTAAATTGATCATTGATTGCAGTGCTTGTTCATGTGCTTACTTGCTATTCACAAATGGACTGATAATAAGTAGATCGATTTAGTCTCCTGCTAAAACACTCAATACAAATAGAAGAGTTTGCTGTCTCTTTAATACGATGCCATCAATTGCAATTAAACTACAGTTCATGTCGTAATCAAAAGATCAAACCTGTAAATTTACAACTCTGTGAGTATATATAATTTACAGCATCCTCCACTCATGAGCTTCGGGTGTTCATACCTCTTCTTTACACCTAATTAATGTTAGTGGTCTTGGCCTAATTTTTCCATTTTTTTCTTTCAAAAGTCAATGGTGGAGCGTGTATGTGTCGATCGGTATAATAGCATGCTTAACCCCTGTCAATTAATCCAACTTTATGTAGGTTAAATGGTAGGATTTATTGGAAAAATACCACTTTCCTAGTTTAAACTATTTTGCCACAGTACTAATTATTATATCAACACCATGCATGAAATTGTTCGCTTTTCTGTATAATATTATTTTTCAATAATTTTCTCGCTTCGCATTACACGAGTCTTATTTTAAGGTGAATTTTTTTTAGTGAAAAGGCGTTTTTTTAAGGTGAAATTTGTGGAGTGAATGATAGTAACATTATACTTCGAGTTTTTCAGGATGTTTAATTTAATTATTATTTGCATAGGACGTAAGATTGGTTTAGAACACCAATATTTAAAATCATATACAAATTACCATGAAAAAATAAATTTTCTTTTACATAGGTTATCTTGTTGGATATGGTTTTTTTTTTTAAAAAAGCTGATTTTAGTTGGGTGCGGGCGTTGTTTAATTGTTTGAGTGAAAAATGGAGTTACTTGGAGCTTTACCTTTATACAATTAGAAATTAATTTTTATAGTAAAATTGTGTTTGGCGAACATGAACCATACCTTGTTTTTTCACAGCAAGATATACCGACAAACACATCACCTTAATCACAAACTCTCTAGTACACCGTGTTTGAACACGCTTAATAGTCGTTAGCTAAGTATAAATCCTAACTTCTTCAAAAAAATCAGTACTCCCTCAGTTTCATATATATTACTTACCATTCTAGCATTTCATTTTTTTTATCAAATTACTTATATGGTTCTCACAATTCAAAGCCTTTTTAGAGGTGATCTTATCTCCACCTTTTCATCAATATAGTCATGCATTAATACAGTCATAAACTCCCAATAACTCCCATTGGTTTATATGCTTTGAAAACAAAAAAAATTGAGATGTATTTAATGGGGCAACTATGTAATCTTCGATATCCTTTTGATTTGTATGAGATTTGCTAGAACCACAAGTAATTTGAAACAGATATACTTCCAGCTATGCATAATTGTGTGTGCCAGGAGTTAAAGCGGTGGCTGGTTGGATTGATGCACCTCTTTTGAGAAAATAAAAGAGAAACCAAATTAAAATCTCAACCTATAGCTTCAAGAAAACAAAATATTTAATCCCTTGTTGGTCTCCTCCCTATCATATCTACAAGATATATATATATATATATATATATATATATATATATATATATATATATCCAGCTAATCTCTCTCCTCATGCCATCTCTATATAAACCCATCAACTTGCCTCACTTGAAGCTACAATCAAGAAATCCACATTTCTCCTCGGAAAGTCAAAGGCAAGAAACACCATGGATGCCACTGCCATCGGCAACGGCGCCCTGCACTCCAATGGCGCCGGCGCCGACACCAAAGGGAAGCCGATCAAATGCAAAGGTGAGAATTAAAACGACATCGATCGCCTTCTATATCTAGCTTCGTCCTCCTCTCCGGCCATCGTCGGCCGGCAAGCTTTTCTTGCCGGCCGGCCGGTGTGATCGATGATGATGAGATGACGATCGACGACGACGATCATGCGTGTGCAGCGGCGGTGGCGCACGGCCCCGGCGAGGCGCTGGTGATGGAGGAGGTGGAGGTGGCGCCGCCGGCGAGGATGGAGGTGCGCCTCAAGGTGCTCTTCACCTCTATCTGCCATACCGACCTCAGCGCCTGGAAAGGAGAGGTATATATCTTTCTACACATATATATACACATACAAATACATATATAGAGAGATGTATATAAAAAGATAGACGAATATGCAGTAATCGTGTTCATGAAATTTTGCTAATTAAGTTACTTAACTTCTTTTGTATGAAGGAAAGCATACACAATTCTGTCTTCTATATCAAAGATGTACACAATTGAATTATTTCTCGAGCATTGTTAATTGATTGATTCTTGCCTTGTCCTTCAATCTGTCTGTTCATGTGATGCTGCTGTTTTGGCTGGCGTGATGATGATGATGATGATAGAACGAGCTTCAGCGAAAGTTTCCTCGCATATTGGGTCATGAGGCAGCAGGGTGAGTACTACACCTTTGATCTTTCACCCTCTTTTAATTTTTATCCTCCTTTTTTCTCTAGTTAAAAGTTATTTTTCTCTGTGTTTTTTCCTCTCTTTATAATAACTAAGCTCTTGAAAATTCATCTGTTGCTTTAATTTACATGCATGTTCGTTTTGAACAAGCAAATGCAAAAAAAAGGTTCTTGAGGAAAATTAATTAGGTACTATGTAAGTATATATGTAACAATTAATTAAACTGGCTGAAAGATAAAAGTGGTTGAAATAGGATTTTTAGCTTTAGTTCAGTAGAGAATTAATATATATAGGAAAGACCAAAAGGCTAGTCTGAAATTTCTGTTGCAATTGAATTTTTTTCTTTTGTATAAAGTGATGTTGCATTTTTGACTTTGCTTGCAAAAAAGCTAATGGTGAAATGATGGTCAACTTCATCTTAAGAAAAGTCATCTTGGACGTCCTAATGGTACTACATTAGAGATCACCGTCAAGATACTCCAAAAGATGGTTTTTAAGAAACCAAGAATTATTAAGCAAATAAAAAAAAATCCGATATGATGTCTACATAACCAGGGTTACACCAGACACGTGCTAATAAGTGGATTTATTAGAGTTGCTTGATCAGAAACTGGTCGTGCTTTCGATCTTAATTACAATTGGTGCATGCCAACAAGCTAGAGATATCTTTTTTGTCTGACATAAAGTAGGATCGATGTATGGCGATTAGATCGATCATGTGACAGATAACCAGTTGTTAATAAATACAAATACAATTAATTATTGTTAGTTGGCAGATGAAGACGATATATAGAACGCCGGCTCCCCAAAAGCATAGGTCCAACAATCCAGCTTAGCTCACATGGGATTAGACGATACCTCATATGCTTGATTATTCTTTGTACCAGCCTCACATATTTTCATCAATTGTGTTCCATTTCATTTTAATAAAAAATTTCGGATCACTTTGGCATATAAATCTAGTCTACATACAAGTGATGTTTATGGGAAATGTAAAACCTTTATCCTTTTTTTTATTTAGCGCAAATGAGCTCATCATTAATTTTAACAATGTTTTTACATGGTTGCGCTAGAATCAACTTTACTCTCCATTTCTCATGTTTAATGGAATGAATATTTGCATGTTTTCACAAAACTGAATACATCTTGTCATAGTAAAAGCACTCATCCTAAAGAGTATATTTTTGGCACATTAAAGACGTTACCATTTTTATACAACACCTGATAGCAATATGCAACTAAAAAAACAGGGTGGTGGAGAGCGTGGGAGAGGGTGTGGAGGATCTTGCCCCTGGAGATCATGTTGTCCCCATCTTCACCGGCGAGTGTGGTGCGTGCACCTACTGCGAGTCCAGCAAGAGCAACCTATGCAAAACCTACCGTGTCAACCCATTCAAGAGCACCATGGTCACCGATGGTGGCACGAGGTTCACCATGATCGACCGCTCCTCCGGTGCACGCAACCCGGTCTACCATTTTCTCAACACTTCCACCTTTGCTGAGTACACTGTGATTGACTCCGCTTGCGCTGTCAAGATCAACCCTAAGGCTCCCTTGGAGAAGATGAGTCTCCTCAGCTGTGGGGTCTCCACAGGTAAGCAACCGTGACTTGGTCCTATATAGTGAAGAAAATATTGTCCTATCTCCGTTCCAGAATAATTGTATTTCTACCATTCAAATTTTGTTAAAAAAATGTATTTATGCTGTGGTGGGACTGATCAACCTTCCTTTTAATCAAATTTAAAAATGGTTTTTAACTTTCTTTTTAATCAAGTGTATGTATGGAATGTGTACATATAGTGTGATTATTAATAGTGGTAAATTGTGTTGGTTGCTAATATGTCTTTATTTCTCTAAAAATGTAATTATTCTAGGATGGAGATAGTATATACTCAATAATAGGCATTTTAGTTTTGTATTAGGATTTTTTTTTTAAAATGACATGAATTGCTCTTACACTGATGAGCCAAGTTAATTTTTTGAGACAGGAGTTACGACTATATCTCCTTGAACTTATAACCTAGAAGTTACAACCACTGTTTTATAAACTATACACTACTCCCTTCGTCCCAAAATGTAACCATTTTAGCTACGGACACATGTGTGTCTAGATTCATAGCTAAAAATTGCTATATTTTGGGACGGAGGTAGTAGTTAACAAGCCAACATAAAAGTATATATAAACCATAAAGGAGAAACAGGCAGGGGCACCCATGATCTTGAACAGAAAATTTGTTGAGATGCTGTCTGTCAATACATGGAAATTCAGCTAGCTGGATTAACATGACACATGGACAAACTGGCTAGCATGCATCTGGACACTCATGGACTTGTCAAGTGCCGACTAGATATCGATGTTTCCTTTGATTTTATTTGAAATCCAACAGTCCAGCATGGGACACCTTGGATACGGATGCCAGTAGATTGGTTACTCTGTCCAACTCTGAAACTGAACAAAACCAAGCTCCATGTCCAGCCCACAATGCTACAGAGATTGGTCTCTGCAGCATGGCCCTCCATTTGATTTTTTTGGGTACTTATCCCTGTTTATTAATTTAGATGATAATGGTGGGCATTTGCTTCTATCATTGTGATATCGATGTGTGAAAATGAAAGCCTTAAAGTTTGATTGATACTGCATATATATGGAAGTGTAGATTTCTTGAAAGTTTAATGTGAGAGTTTAATGTTTTGAATTTAATTAGCAATCGTTCATTTAGATAATGAATTAAAAATTGTTTATGATTTTGCTGTTAATTAGGAGTGGGAGCTGCATGGAACACTGCAAACGTCTCCAAGGGGTCCACAGTGGCAATATTTGGGCTTGGTGCCATTGGTCTTGCGGTAAGTAAATTAGTTACTGAGAAATACTCAGGCAATAAAATATTTTTTCTACAAATATGTGTTTTCTAGCGTTTTTATAACGTACATTTCATTTGGCAACAAAATATATGTTTGTAATAATTAGGATGCGAAAAGGCAAACAAAAGAAAATAAATTTTGATTATTTTAAAATTCTTTTAGGTTGCCGAAGGTGCCAGATTGAGAGGAGCATCTCGAATCATCGGAGTTGACATAAACCCTGAAAAATTCTCCAAAGGTGCGTATTTTAGCCACGTATATATTTCCGCTGTTCCTTTTTTTACTTTTTTTTTCCTTTAGTTGGCCAATTTTTACGTCTTTGTCATGCACCGCAGAAAAAAAATTGTCGTTCAATTTGTGCCAGCGTGAATTTAATTAATACATTGGTCTCGTTAGAATATGATGTGACCGAACTAATTTCTGGCCCCATTTTCCCGATCAGTGATCAGTTGATTGAGATAGAAAAATTTGCATAATCACGAAATTATAAATGCAATAGTAATTTTGACAACTGATGACCATCATGTCACTTTCCAAGTGATGCATCCAGAGCAAAAGAACTCTTGAACTTTCCACGTGGTATGAGTTGTTAATTGCTCAAAGGTACATTTGTTATCCAATATCCTAGTGAGTATTTTGCTAGTCAATTTCAAGTTAGTGGTAGATTAACCCGAGTAAACTGAGACACAAGTCACACAATGCCACTTCCAAAAAGAAAAAAAAAACATGAGAGTGCTAGACAGATCATCTAAGACCTGTTCTTGCAACTGAGTTATCCATAAACGTACAAAGCATCGTAATCAGACGTATAGATTCATTTGGTTATTGTGTTATTTTCTTTGACCGGACCATAAGCCTATGAGCAGCTTCTATCTTGAGGACGATCTTAAGTTCCTGTGCAATGTATATATGAGACCAACCTTTATGGACCGATCACACTCCAGACTCCTTCGATCGGGAGACTTTCAGTAGCAGATCTAGAAAATAATATTATTGTTGTCACTCTTTAAATACTTCCCCGGACTGATAATATTTATCGTTTTAGACAAGAGTGATGTCAAACTTTAGAATCTTTGATTATGAATCATTTTTAAAATATTTATCTTTCAAATATGGTGACTACATGTATATATTAGTCTTAAAAAATAATTTAATAAAAATCATATATTTGTTAACATTTTATACATATTATAATGAAAAATAATGGTCACTGTCGTTTTTTTTTAAGAATGTGCCCTCGTCCAAAACGATAAGGATTATCAACCTGAAGGGGTACAGTGGTATCAAAACATAGGGTTAGCATCCTCGCCATTAGGGGGTAAATGTCGAGGCAAACAGTAAAATGTGAGGGATGCTACAGTGTTTTACCATCTTTACAGTAAAAATCACAGTGAAAAATTGATTAATTATTTTACTGGGATTACTGTAGCAATTGATTTCGTGCATCCATACTTGATCCAATGGCTAAAAATAGCTAATGGCATTATGGATCACTGTAGTTCTCTACCATTCGAGTTTGAATGGCAGAGGATACAAACCCCAAAACATGAGCATTTTTCTATTGCTGATGTGCATTAATAGTGACATTAGCGGGAAGTCATTTGGGTCATATGACCCCAATGCTTACATGCTAACACCATCTCTAAAGGAGATGTAAAAATAACTCATGCCCCGTGTTTCTAAACTTGCTTTTATTTTTAAGTAGGAAGGTAGCCCGCGCATATGCGCGTGCATCTTATTTAATGTACGTAAAATTTTATACGAATATCCATGTGTGGATGACTTTGTCTTAAAAAATACTCTTTTACTATATCTAAACAAAAAATGAACTTATTTAATATGTTTTGAATGCTAGTTATAATTTTCTTCTGATTACCCTTGCAGCACATAAATTCTAAACTAAAATTACTCGAGTCAGTACACTTCTCAATTTATGAGAAAGTATTGTCGAAACAATATATGTAGTTCCTATGAGAAAATTTTGGGTATTTTGATTTCCTACAGAGATAACTTACCCCCAAACATTTTCTCAAAATATCCAATTTTTTTGTTAGATGCTATTTGAAGTTTTACATATTTTCATTCCATTAGCGCTGCTAAAAGTTTGAATATTTCTATTTAGAATGGGTTTTTAAACCATATTTTTAAAAAAAACAGATAAAATTTGTTTATTTTCATGTCCATTTTTTAAAGAAATTTGGAGAATTCCATTCTATGAAGCAACTTTGAAATTATTTGATCTCTGCAATTTAGGTTGAAAACATAAGTGGGTTGAGCCTACAACCTGACATGGGGTAAAGTCATCTCTTCTAAATTATCTCACTTTAATAGAGTAAGAAATATTAAAATAGAGGTCATGTAATAAATACACATTTCTAGATTGTTCTACACTAAATGTTAGGAGTTTACAATGTAGCGTAGCAAGTTCTACGAAAATTAAATAAATGACATGATTTTTAATTCCTATATGGAAGTGACTCATTATATTGGTAAGGCCACCTCATCATTGTTTCACTACTAAGATTCTTTGTTGCAACCCGCATGCTTATACGATCAATATGATATGTTGTCTATAAAAAAATAACGCTAGATGGGGTACACATTATGACTAAAAACAATATCATTTAAAGTTTTTCTCTAATTTATTAGTGACTTCATAGATCATATATATAATTTAGATGCTATGATCATTTAAAGATTATTTATTTATCTCCTAAGTCGATCATTTATTGATAAAAAGCTCAAATATCAAATTGTATGGGCAAATAGCCCCCATATACATGTTGAGAGAATTTAATTAAGTTGATAGAAAGTTGTTAGGTGTCTAACCAGATATAACTAATGGGTGTACCAGCTTTATTAAAAATTAAGGTGGGATATTCCGATTTTCAATGACGAATTTTAATATCTTTTTTATTTAGTGTTTGCCTCAAGATGGATGTGGGTCTAGAATGTAATTTTTATGTTGGCATTTAAATATAGTCAATATGAATATGAAAGTATTGATTTCACTAAAAATATAATAGTTCAAACAGATCGTAAGTTGAATATATGATTTGAAAAGTTATAATTATTTTAATTTATATTGTTCCAAGTTATAGTAAGAGAAGAAAGAGAAGAACATGGACAGTGGGATACCTGTTTAGACCTTACATGTGGAAGGTTCATTTATAGTTTTTTTCTCCATAAAGATAATTTTAATTTTAGTTATCATAAATAAAGATAAAAAATAAGAGAAAAGGAACAACACACACCGCACGGGGACAGAAAGGGAGGGAGGGGGTGTTTTTTCATAAAAAAATGATTGTTCTAACAACCTATGTGTTGGATGTTTACGGTCGGATGTTTTGTTTTTCCTCTCATAATTTTGTATGATTTTTTTAAACTTAAAAGAGACCCCTAGTGGTTTAGAAATATTTATAGGATGTTTAATGTAGTTTTAAGTCTTTAACATTGTAGGGGCAGGGAGGAAGGAAATGAGGTTTGGGAGTTTTTTAAAATAAAAATCTAATAACAACCTAAATGATATGTCCACGATTTAAGTCGATACCAATAGTTGGATGTTTTGTTTTTAAATTTTTATGATTTTCTCTAATTTAGAAGTGTCACTAGGTGGTTTAGAAACATTTATAAGATGGTTAATGTGCTTTAACGCTGCATGGGAGCGCGGAGGGAGGTTTGGGATGTTTTTTTAAAAGATTTTATTTTTTTAGATTTTATCTAATTTAAGAGTACTATATACTCCCTCCGTCCCATAAAAACTCAAATTAGAATATGATGTGACATATCCAAGAGCAACGAATCTGGACATATGTTTAAAAATATTTATATGATGTTGAATAAACTATTTATTAGGAGAGAATATATAAAGAGTTGGCTAGATCTAATATGTTAATGGGCTTTTTAGGCCCATAAAAAGTATTTTATTTTAATTGTTATGGGGATTAAAAAAAAGAGAGGAACGATGGTTGGAGGGATCATACATACATGCGCACCAAGGCTGACGTCCGGACTCCGGACATAGATTTTTTTTTCCTTTGATTGAAGATAAATCTAACGATCAAAATTAATGGGCCCACTAATTTAAATGAAAATCAATGATCAGATTTTTACTATTTTATTAGAGTGATACATGGCGACTCTAGAGCGTTTATAGGATGCCACATGACAGTCTAGGAACGTTTGTAGGAAGTTTAATGGACTTTTAGTATATAATAGATAGAACTGCATGAGTTCTAAAAAAAGCTCCGTCCTTAGAGATTGGTTATACTTATTTCTTTTTGATTTATGTTTTTACATGAATTCCTTCAAAACAGTGTGATATTAGTTCAATTTCTCTCACTGGTGGATTGATAATTCCTAAACAAGTGAGAGTAAGACCTAACAAAATTGGTTAAGCAAAACTATTGAGCTGCACAAGTAACTGAACAAATTAAAGCACAGGAATTTGAATTTACCATGAAAAAAATCCACATAAACCTCAACAATTACAAATGACAGAATGAACCGAGCTCTTTTCGTTCTTAGATCTCATAGTTATTGCTGACGTTGCATATAATAAATAATTCTGAATTTCTAATGTCAATGGTTGATAATCGTAATATGGATGACATCGTGAATGAGAAAAATCTTGTCAGTCTGATATTTCGCATGCTCCAGAAGATGCTAAATAATCCAACTTTTCATGAAAACGCCACGAGTTGAAAATTATTTTAGGCGTGCACGCCTTCCTTTTGTTCACTGTCAGAAGCAACAAGTGACAAATAAGTTCATACAAGATCTGTCCATTTTTCTTGTTGAAAATAGGAGAAAGGACGTACCATGTCTCGTTCATTGCTGCGGAATTTGGCGTGTTCGTTTTCCAATAGTTTTTCAGTCAAAGTATGTCCCATGGAGGCATTATTTATCTTTGACAAAATTCAAGTTCATTTCTCTATCAACCGAAAGGACAGAAAAAAAGTTGCTCCAGCTGGGAGTTCTCTGTTTACAAGGTCTTCACAAATCTTCAACAAAATTCTCTGCTTAAATTTATCAACAAAATAGCAATCTCTGTTTTGAAAAAGTTGCACTAGATGCAATAGTAGGAGTTAGAAGTCCCATTTTGCAGTAAAAAAAATCATGAATTTCTTAGGTTGCATCTAAGCATGGGCGGCCTGAAATGTTTGTGCAGGCAAAGAGATGGGCATCACTGACTTCATCAACTCGAAGGCATCTGGCAAGCCTGTCCACGAGGTACAAATAATTTGGCCGCTTACATAACCACACTGAACTTCGTTTTCCTATGTTGGCAATTTAAACATTTTTCAAAACATTGTCCTGATATTTTATATTTAGGTTATCATGGAGATGACAGATGGCGGTGTCGACTACAGCTTCGAGTGCACCGGCATCACCGATGTTCTACGGGAGGCCTTCGTTTCCACACATGATGTAAGCGGTGAAAATATCCGGTGTTTTTACCGCTCTTTGAAAAACTATACAAATAGTTATGAAAAAATTTGCGTTGTTTCATTAAAACTAAACCTGTATTCTGAATGAAATGGAATTCAGGGATGGGGCCTGACCGTTGTGCTGGGGATCCATGCAACGCCCAGGATGCTGCCGCTGCATCCAATGGAGTTATTTGACGGCCGTCGGATCACTGGCTGCGTTTTTGGTGACTTCAAGGGAAAGTCCCAGCTGCCTGAAATCGTGGAGAAGTGCATGCAGGGTGTAAGTACCGAAATTGTTTTGACCAATTTCATTGAGTCAGATTAATGCAAATGTTTAATGGATGGTAATTTTGATTCTGTAACAGGAGATTAACATAAATTTTGATGGGTTCATAACACAAGAGTTGCCCTTCGCCGACATCAACAAAGCTTTCCAGCTGCTGGAAGAGGGGAAGTCACTCAGATGTCTGCTCCATGTCTGATGAAACTTGTGGATTGTAAATTTGAATACACAATAAATGAATCATAAATGTTTTCGCGGTTTCAAGGTGTATAATTTTCATATGCATGTATGTTTTGTACATAAAATGGGTTGAACTTCGTTAAAGAAAAGACAAATTGTTAATTAGTAGAATGCAGTATTAATATTTGTAACAGGTGAGTGTGGGTGTGCAGTCGCGAGAATTGAGCACACGATTGGTTACATACATGCTCGAGTTGCTAGTCAGTAGGGCCACACACCATTTTTATCTATTACATACGAGTTACAGTCTAATTTTATTATAGTTACATATAAATGTTCTCTACCAAAAAAACTGTCTGAATGTTGATATTTGTAATAGAGTTAGCACAGGTTTCTTCTGTATACTATTATCATGGTTTCCTACACAATAATTGTAAAATGTTCTTTTGAATTTAGGGATCTCCATTGCTTGTGTCCGTTTTACATTTGCAAAGATCTCAAATATGGATGAGAACTTTCAAACCGAACAACAATTTCAGTTTGAAAGAAATAAAACATGTAGTAGTAGAAATTACAATACAGCGTCCAATTGCAGAAACGATTCCAAAGTGCACAGAGCGTCTGTGCACATAGGCCGGTTTAGGCCGCTAGCGCTACACTGTCAACTGCAGCTTGGGCCTCCTAGGGCTGGGCCTTCGTACTTTTCTGATCTTAGACTGTTGGAAGAAGTCCACTTTAAGTCCCTCAAATAAGGGTATGGTTTAAATCTCATCCTCCAACCGTAAAATCAAATATATTTCATACCTTCAATTTTTAAAACTAGTATAAATAAATTGAGTCATTATTCGATAGTTTTGAATGGCAGTATTGATCGACATGGTGCTTACATGATGTATTGATCCGAACATCATTGTAAGTGGCACTTATTTTGGGATGAGTCTATAGGTCGGGCGTCCGATCGGTTTGGAGAAAAATCGGACACTGACGTCAGCATAACGTCAACGCCCGATTTATATGCAAAACTATTTTAAACTGATTTTTCTCTTAAATTACTTATCCAAATCATGATCCGATTGCACCATTAAATTCGTTGCAATTAAATCTTCAAAACAGGACCACATATGGATATATTCCGATGAAATTTTTTTAGCTTATTATTGAGTTATTTTTAAATATTGCATGATGTTCCACCAGGTATATCGGAATTGTTTCACTAAGTAGATCGAAAATGTTTCACTTGTTTAAATCGGGTGTTGTTTCACCTTATATAAAAACAATGTTTTAGCAAATAGCGAAAAAAATGTTTCAGTTCAATGCAACATTTGATCCATACATAGTGAAATATTTTTTGGTGGAACAAAAAATAAAACGAATTCCCTTAATAGGGGGTTTCCAAAATATGTGGGTTTTTTTTGTTGCAATGGAATATTTCAGTTCATTGCAACATTAGATCTATACATAGTGAAACATTATGAGTACACTAGGTGAAACATTTTTAGTGGAACAAAAAATAAACCAAATTATCTTAATAGAGGGTTTCTAAAATATGTGGGTTATTTGTTGCAATGGAATATCTGGTGGAGACACGTGGCAGGTGGGAACAGAGATCTTGGTGGGGCCTAGGATACTGCATGCACGTGCGTGGGAGGCGGGGCCATGGGGGGAGCGCCCAATTTTTTGCAACCCCCGTCGGTCGACCGACGAAGAGCATTATCGCTTATTTTGTGCAAAAATAAAATTGAGACCGACGTGTCATTAGTATTTCCTTCTTTGTCCCCCATAAGTGGTGAAGCAGGATCTAGACATGGGGGACTAACTTATGAGGTACTACCTCCATATGTTAATGTATGACGCTGTTGTTTTTTTTTTAACGTTTGACCATTCGTTTTATTCAAAAAAAATTATATGATTGTTAGTTATTTTATTGTGACTTGATTCATTATCAAATGTTCTTTAAACTTGACATAAATATTTTTATATTTATATAAATTTTTTAAATAAAACGAATGGTCAAACGTTGGTCACAAAGTCAACTGCGTCATGCATTAAAATACGAAGGGAGTATTACTTAAATAAATATATCAAGACAATCCACAAAAATTTAGGACTGATTGTGTATTAGAGTAATTTTTTTCTTGTGCAACTTTCACGATGTTGGCATGATATTTTTAGAATAAGGTAGCAATATTTCTATACGTATCTCTTCTTTCTTCTTTCTATATATAGTTGGTACCCACTAGCTATAAAGCTGCTCTGAGGATGAGCCACGTCACCCTAATTAGCTGAGACCGTTAGATCTTAAATCAACGCTTCAAGACTGCACATGGCACCACCATCTACACCAATTAGGCCCATGTAAGCAGGTTCACCTAAACAGCCTTCCACTTTCCCGTCGTTGGCCCACTGTTATTAAAATCCAGCACGTTTGAATCTCTACTTTGCATCATCAAAACCACTTGAAAGAGCAATTACAACAAAAAAAAACCCGTCATCACTGACATGAAGATCAAAGGTCGTCCTTAATTCCATTTATTGATCCCCAATCTCCTCCTAAGCTTCTCTCAATTCATCATTACCGTCCACCTCGACGGATGCAATACGTAGATTACCAATCTATTAAGTCTGTCCTAAAATAATTTTAGTGGGCCTCATACTAACTCCTATGATAATTATGTTCATGCACATATCGTTGCTTTAATTTGCCTTCCTAACATTCGTCTTAATCAAGTTTATGCCTTAATTAGCACTACCAATAAAATGAACCGTTACACATATTCATCGATTGAAATTTTTTCCGTGACTTCTCCTTTCATCTTCCCTTTTGATGTCCCCATTTATATTTCTGTCCATAACATATAAAATGTCTTAGCCATCCCAGAACAATTCATCGTGAAACCTTTTGCTAGCCAGCAATGCAATAGCTGGTGACCTTTTCTACTTTGTTTTCGCGATGTATTGTTCTTTCTACTAAATTAAGTTACCATCACAGGCTTCAAATGTATTGTTCTTTCTACTAAAGTTACCATCACAGGCTTCAAATCACTGATGGTTTTGTTGATATCATTCGCTCACTGCCAATTAATGCCAGGCTACCGTGTTTGCTCCTCATATGGTGCGTAAATTATGGTTACAACTCCATTCAAATACTCATGCTACTGTTTTGTCCCCTCCTCATGTGTTCTTTGTTTCTTTCCTCTCACCATGATATGACACACTTAAATTTTTCTAATGCATTACTCTTTCTAGCATTCTTCATATGCTTATTCACTACTACCAATAAAATGAATTTTTTAGTTATTTATCGAGTATTAATTATAATTCCTATTTTTTCTAAAAGGCTTGAAAGGCCTAAGTTTATAAGCATTGAAGTGATGAATTTCATCAATCTTCCTTTCTAATGATCTGGCCCAAACCAACAGCACTTGGAAACATGAATTTTTCTAAGTTTTTTGAAAAAGTTGAAAGATGTATTTAAATCAAGTTGCATCTAACGCTGAAGTGATGCACAAATTTTAGAACAATATATATTTACGTATATATATAAGCAGTCAAATGCATCTTGCACCTAACATTTTCTATTTATCATAGAGAAAGTCCCGCAGCAACGCGCGCGGAGTCTCTCACTAGTATAGCAGATGAGCTAGGCATAAAACAACAATCCGTTTTCCCCTCTTCATCATAGTCTATTATATTGGCAGGCAAAAGTTCTAGAATTTCCATGGTTTTTCTTTCACACATTTAATTTAGAAATTCGTAAAAAACGTAGTAACTACTACCTCCGTTTAGGTTATAAGACTTTGCCCACATTCATATAGATGTTAATGAATCTAGATACACATATATATATTTCTAGATTCATTGACATATATATAAATAAATATGGGTAATGCTAGAAATTAAGTCCTATAATATAAAATATAAAATAGAGGAAGTATATACGTCTCAATCTCATCATCACTAACGCTGCATGATAATCATCGTTGGAGGGGGCCGGGCCGCTTCGCCCCTGCTGTCTCCCATCTCCTATCTCTGTCGGTGACGGTGGCAGAGGTTGCGGAGGAGAAGCGCGCGGACATGCTGAGGCAGATGACCACCCCGGGCAGAATCTCCTCGTTGCTCGATCGCCTCCGGCCGCTGCATCAGCCAGCCCCCGCACCCGTATCTTTACCGAGGCCATCAAGTGCTCTCTAACATCATGCTCTTCATCAATTATACAGTATATATCGCTGCATCACCTGAAGCTAGAAAACGAAGCTGAAGCAGCAGTCAGCAGAGATGAAGTACTCGCTCACCTGAAGCTGAGGCTGAGCCCGTAGGACAGAGAGCGAATTGAAGAAGCGAGCACGAGAATGGAGGAAAGGAAAAGAAAGGAAAGGAAGAAGTAGGAATTGCACGAGAAGCCCAAGCAACAAGAATTGAAATTGAAGTGCCTAGTAAATAGGAATTGCATTTGCTCAAAAGGAATGCATATTTATGCATTTAGATTGAACCAATCCATTTCCATATAAGACAGCCTAGTGCTATGCTAAAGTAGTACAAATAAATAAATAAAGGGAATATATCCATACATACACAAAAAAAAGGGATTAAGTGCTGACCTAGTTGTGTTGCTTAACTAAACACAATAAATTTGAATCTTTAAAATCTGGCCTCCTTATTTGTTCGACCTACACAAAGGGGACCAACCGATTAGCTCACCAACATACTATCACAAAAATGTTCAGGATAAGTAAGAACTTAACTGGGTTTGCAAGATAAACACTGGTCATTGATTCATGGCGTAAGTCAAGAAGTAATTAACATATTTTTTATTTAGAACCCACAATCGATAAACTGTGAAATGGAAGAGAAAAAATTATGCATTCCCTGTAAAATCAAAGGTGTTTTTGATTATTATTCTGTGATGAACTAAAATCAAATGTGTTTTTGATTATTATTCTGTGATGAACAATTGGTGTCGGAGATTATTGGTTTTGTTATTTGGAATTTATTCACGAAGTGGTTTCGGAGATGATTGGATTTACAAGTGAATTACAGGTACTGTTATTTTATGTGACCGGTCAGACCGGGCATGTGCTGCCGGTCAGACCGGCGTGTATTGCGCGGTCAGACCGGTGCAACCTGTGGTCTGACCGGCCGACTCTGTGTCGGTTTCGGTTTCGGGTTGTTTGTTTGGATGTCCGTAATTATTTCATGATTATGGCTTCTAGATGGATACTATACGTATGTAATACTGTTGTTTGCTACTAATGAGTCAAGTTGGAGATAGGTTGGTCTCGGAATATGGTTTCTTTGTTTATTTCATGTGTAGGTGACTCAATGCCTCGGGAGAGTATTTGCGGTGATGGACCGGGAGTCAGCTTGGGGATAAGACGACGTCCGTGGTGGTCAGAGATCATGTGGGATACTTAGGCTAGAGTTGATGCACGTGGTTGATGGAGATTCCATATGGCACACGATGGAGGTATTGTGTGCGTATGGGATGCGGAGTCGAATTTGGAAGGAGTCCAAATTTGGTATGATTGGTTATGCAAAGTTTGTGTCTTGTACTAGAGAGTTTCCTAAGGTGTTTAGGACTCCTAGTATGAGTTTGGTTCGTGGCTTTAAGCTGCCTACCTTTGTATAAATAGAGGGGGAGCGTGAGGCTTCCCGGTATCGCTTTAGAGAGCAATTGAGTTGAGTTTTGAGTTTAGTCGAAATTTTTTGTAAGGAGTGCTGTTGGTGCACTTTGTAAACATAGAGAGAATCAATAAAGTCGTCATCTACTTTAAGAGTTCTTCGATTTGTGTTTACCGGGTTTCGGCGGTCTAACCGGCGATCTACCGGCGGTCAGACCGGCGGGAACACGGCAGTCAGACCTGCGGCGGCGACAGGCGCGGCAGGTGACATCGATGGTCAGACCGGAGATTCAACACCGGTCAGACCGGCGGCTACGCTTCGGTCAGACCGGCTAATCTACTCCGGTCAGACTGATCTCCATCGATTTCGAGGGTAACTTTTATTTCCGCTAAAAGTTTTTGGTTTTTGGGTATACCAACCATTCATCCTCCTTCTGGTTGGCTTAGTTCTTGTGTTTCGATTCTACGCTCCCCATACTCTTGGCCTCTTCGGATCAAATGGCGTTGGCTCTGTTCAGCTACATGCATATGATTAGTGAAAAATCTGGAAGAATTAAGAGAGATTTTGGAGGAGAATAAATGGCATTAACCATGGCCCATGGCCTCTCATCTCCTTATTCTTAGCGACGGTTTCTTAGGCTGCTACCATCGTATATTTCTACAGAGGGAGGTTTTTGCACTGTTCGATATCTCACCCGGAGATCTTCTCATCCAATGTTCATATGCGATCTCATCCACTGATCAAACAGCTGATAATTAATGATGACGTGGAACACTGAGGTTTCAGCTTTGGGTCCCAACTTTACAGAAAGAAGGGATTGGCATATTACAAACTTCATGTCTAAATACTTGGACTGCACACTAAGAATATGAACTGTGCATAAAGCAGTGGTGATAACTAATACGGCTGAATTATGCATTCTTTGTCCTCATGTTTCCTGATGCTGCATGCACTTCGTGATCACCGATCAACTGCTTTCCTGAGCAATTGAACCCCAGATTCTAGACTGACCAAATGGGGGTAGTACTATAAACATGTGTACATCGCCTGGTCTTATTCCTTCCCCTGCCTTGCAGCAACAAGATTGGAATAATCTTAACCAGCTGCTGCTGCAAATTCCTTTACAAAAGCAACTAACTCACAAACCTCTTTAATTATTCCAAGTGGTGCATGGCCCAAGCAAAGGTGATCACCTCCTCCTCACACAGTTTAACATTCTGCAGTCCGTAAGACCTATAAAAAGGCCCCTTCTATAACACAGCTAAGCCCACACAAGATCAAGAGCTGGTAGTAGTACTCTTACCCTCTTGCATTAGCCTTTTCCTTCATCATACAATTTATCTTGAGAAATCAAGCTGTACCTCCACAAGTTGACATGTCGACGGTGACCTCGTGCACCTTCCTGAGCATCCGCCCCACGGTGAGCTCTGCTGGCAGTCTCTTATCCAAGAAACCGGCAGCGTTTGTTTCCCTTGCGTCGGAGAGGAAATCTAGGCCTCTTTCGCCGTGCTTCGCAATTAGCTCCAACAAACCAGGGGACCCAAAAATAGATGTGTCGCCATTCAGCATTTCACCCGTTGGTGAGTTATTTGTCACATTGTCATTGCACCATGAATGGCACACTTTTATTTATTTATGCCTTTCGAAAGAATTACGTTTACACACTATATACCATTACTTCCTATGTCTGCAAATATAATATATGTTTAGTTTTTGTGTTATGAGGTTTATAAAGTTATTGGAATGCATGGTATTTTCTCACCCTGAAAAAACTTAATGCCGTTATGACATGGAATGATCTTCAAGGACAATATTCAAATAGTTATTTCTGATAAATCGGCAGAAAACATTTAGTAAGAATTATCACTAGTTTATTTATTTGAAGTGATATCTGTAGTCTTATTACAACAAAAAAAATGTGTTATAAGTTTCCCTCAATAGTTTACCTTGTTGGGTTGAATATGATTTTTTAAATTAAAGAAAATATGTATTTTAGACTATGTTTTAAGATACTTAAAACAAAAAAAGCTAAGATATGGAGGCATAAAAATACAAATATCTAATAAGAACTGCAACTAAGAACCCATAAAAATTGGAACTGCTGTTTTAGGCTAGGATGCATGGCACTATTGTGTAAGTTTGGATTCATGGCCAACTCATAGATGTATTAATTAGAAAGTCCATTAACCAGTTCACAAATCAATTAATGACAAAACTATATATATTTGCTGTAAACAACACATACGCAACACATGAAGGGAAAAAAGGGAATGAATTATCCATTAATTTGGTTATTTGATTTCCAAATGCATGTGAAGTTCTGGTGAACCCGGTGCCGGTGGACGGCGAGCGGTGGCAGGTGGCGGAGAACAAAGATGAAGTGAGCCTGTGGTTCGACGTGCCGGGGCTTTCTCCGGCAGATCTGATCGTCGAGATCGACGAGGACGTGCTCGTCATCAAGAAGAAGAAGAAGGCGAGCCCAAAGAGCAACTACAATACTCCTACTTCCGGTGCCATTGCAGATCATCAGGAGGCCACCGCCGACGAGTTCAGCGGCGGCGGGATCTACGCGCGGCTGCTCCTCCCGGCGGGGTACAGTAGAGAGGGTGTCCAGGCAAAGCTCACCTCCGGCGAGCTGAAGCTCACCATTGGCAAGGTCAAGGAGAGTGTCCGCAGGAAGATCAATGTCGATATCTCTGTCAAGTAGAATTCAGTGAGCTTCCATGGAATTCATATATGGTCATCTGTGATGAAGGATCGGAGCAACGGTGCAAGTTATATCTTGCCTAAGATTCTAGCTCATATATATCAATAACTGGTCCATGATCTGATCTCTCTCTCTCTATGTATACATCCTTTGCTGTTTTCCTAAGGTTGAGTATGCTTATGTATGCAAGCTTTATTCCGGCTGCATCCAAATAAATAAAATGATCATCTTTGTTGTGCTTTCACTTGTGCCTGCATGCATGTGTGATGTATTCCCTGGTAGATATTCTAAAAAAAAAATTCTATGAACATCTCTGGTATACATCTCCTTAGAATAACTACTCTACACCCCCCTCTCCCATAGGTCAATCCCATCGCCCCCACCCTTCCTAGGGTCCAAATCCCCCCTTCCACCTCAGTCAAAGAATAGTCAAAGCCTCCTCCCGCTGGTCAAACCCGAGACAAACCCGCCCATTGACTCCCTCCCCCGCCTACCACTTTGTGTTACGTCTCGCAGGAATTCCGCAGTAACATAACGGTCATCGTTTAGTAACAGGACAACTTTCTCGTAGTAACAACATCGAAAAATAGTCATGATAGATCTAGTTTTGTTAAGCACTTTTTTTCAAACATCATGGTGCAGATGGATTAGAAAAATTATATATAACATGAGAGATATTGCTCTCTAAAGATTGAGGTTTACTTTTTTTAAGTTCTCGTCTCGCTGGAACGGCGTAGTAACGCGACGGCCAATGTGTAGTAACACGACTACTTTCTACAGTAACAGCGTTATAAAATAGTCATGGTGGATCTAGTTTCGTTAAGTATTTTTTGTCTCAATCATTGTGTAGTAACAGGACTATTGTCTCGTTGTAATGTCGTTTTAAAGCATTATGGTGAAAGCGATTCTAAAAATAATATGCGATGTGAGAGATATTATTGGTTAAAGATTAGAATTCCAAAAGTATACTTATACTAAGCTTGCTATTATGTATCTTTGTATGGACAAAGAGAAGTACTTTTTAACACTTGTATTTTTCATAAGATTGAGATTTAAAAATTTAGCTATACACAAGTAGTGGTACTATAGTATTACCGTTAATATCATATGTTCTCTGTTACTACAATTTCATCTCAATGCTACTGCAAAACGTACAGTAACGACCTATAAATTTCACAGTAATGACCTATACATTTCACAGTAACATATCGTGTTACTGCACTTCTGCGATAATGTTACTACCGAATCATAGTAAAAAAGTATGATTCCTACAGTAACATAACGGGTTTGTGTTCACAAAATTTGAACAAATATATAAAGAAAGCAAACAATGATCTCAAATCACATAGTGTCATAGAGGTGAATAGGTTAGTAGAGTTTGTTATGAACCATGAGATCATGGGTTCTAGTCTTGAATTCATCAATTTATTTTTAATTTTTCTATAAAATAGAAGGGAAAATGGTTCTAGTCTTGAATTCATCAATTTATTTTTAATTTTTCTATAAAATAGAAGGAAAAATGGCAGATGGGAGAGAAAAAACGAATAAAAGAAAAAAGAAAGTAGAGGAGTGCGCTAGGAGAAGAAAAAGCGAATAAAAGAAAAAAAAGTAGAGGAGTGCGCCAGGAGAAGAAAAGGCGAAAAAAAAAGAGGGAGGAGGGGGGCAATGGAGAGAGAGAGATCGGGGAGGAGGAGGAGGAGTAGGGGAAGGCGGGGCCGTGCCCGGGAGGGCGGGATGGGCTTAGTAGTTGGGCTGGGAAGGAGGGGTGGGGGTGTAGAATATATATATCCGTGGAGCCCCCCCCCCCCCCCCGCGCCCCAGCTCCATGCCCTTTTGCTGCGGCCGCCGCAGGTAACGCCATCCAACGAGCTCCATGCCTCTCCCCTACAGCCCAGTCAGGTGCTTGAGACTGATCCCTCATACCATAAGCTTCATGAGGAGAGCTGCGGTGGAGCTCCGCTGTCTAAGCTCGAGCTCCACTGGCCTCCGCATTTGCCTCAGCCTAATTCTAGACTGGAAAAGGCAGCAGACAATGGCAACCAAGCGGTGAAGATGGTGCAGCTTTGAGCAAGCTCGAGTTGGATGCGGAGATGACACGGACAATGACAAACTCGAAGTGGTGGAGGCCCAGCGGCCTCGGCTCTTCCATCGAGCTTGTCGTGGGCTCGAGGCCTCGCCACCGGCACTCATCTTCTTCGACCTTGGCAAGGGGGCGGCAGGTGCTGGGTCTAGGGTGGTGGCGGAGCTAGGGACAGTAGAGGCCTTGTGGAGGAGAGAATCGAAGAGCCGCACCTTGGTCTCGTACTCTCGTAGATGTTGGGGAGGAGAGACTCCCAAATTTCAACCAGCCGCCACTAGACCCAGATGCAGTGGGGTTTGTCCACGTCCATCAATCCTTGATAGAGCTTGTTGGTGAACCTTCTTTTCTGTGCTCGATGACCCCTCTTCTCTAACCTCGCCACTCATCGCTAGTCCCCCTCTTCTCTGACCTCAGCCAATGGGGCAGGCTCTGCGTCGAGCTAGCCGCCAACCTCGTGCTTCTCCCGAGCACGACAAAGGGGGTGAGCTCCGCATCAATCTCGACGCCGACCTTGTCATGGCCGCCGCCCCCTCTTCTCTCAAGCATGCGAGATCTCCATGGCCGCCTCAAGCTCGGCGAGGGTGAAGGAGGAAGAAAACACCATGACAGGCAGGGACCGCTGACATGGCATCCTGGGGTGTACCAAAACCAGGGTAAAAACCACTCTGGGGTGTAAAGTGAATGTTATTGAAAGTCATAGTATGTGAAATATCCAATTTTAGAGTTTTGGGTGTATTTTAGACAAAACGAAGAATTGAAGGGTGTAAAATGGACTTATCCCTATTTATAACAAGGTGCAATTTCTTTCGCACTTATTGTGGCACATTGCATATATGGACATTACATTGATGAGTTTACGAGTTAGCCTAATATCAAAAGATTATTCCAAGTCATCTAAGGACAATCATATTTTGGTTTATTGTGAACTACTAAATGCCTTTTCTTTTGTTCGCCCTTTCTTTTTCAGCATATCATTTCAAAACCGTAATCTGTGTAATACCATCCTGCAGTAAGACGTGGGACCGGCATCATCTAGTTAGATACATATAACACTTCCACCTAGACATTACTCAGGTATCTAAATAGAAATTCTAGTGTTGGCTACTTTAGATATGTTGAAACTTGATTTATTTTTGCACAACTTAATTTCAACTATATATAAAGATAGAACTTAATTAATTAACTTGGTCAAGACAACTTCGTGCTAGTTAATTAAGTTAACTTGGTCAAGACAACTTCGTGGCAACTATAATTAAGGAATAAGCCAAACGGACATATTTGCTAACGAAAAATAATTTGTGAATAAAACTTTTATATACGTATTTTTAGAGATCTAAAAGAAAATGCTGGAAAATAAACTTCAATGAAAAAACCCCAAAATCAACTTGAAATTTAAGATTGAAAATTTAAATTTTAGCTGGTAAGCATAAGCATATGTGAAGAGATGAGGCTAGTAGTTTCTCTGTGGGGCCGATTGCATTATATTGCCATTAGGGCGCTTGTGTTATTTGTCAGTTTACCATCTCAGTTTTCTTATTTTCACAGATTCCACTGGTTTTCTTCTAGTGTTGTCAGTTGTCAAAATGCCACTACGATTCCAGTTTCAACGCCATTAACAAGGGAACAATCTTCGACTGTATCCGTGACCAAAAATACCCCTCAACAAAATATTATAAAAGTTTTAAAAAAACATTATCCTATTTGAGTTGTGAAACTTGAAGCCGGATAAGAGGAAAACAAACAGAAATAAGTATTTTGGGAGCCCATGAATTGTGGAATCATCGAGATGCACTCTCGAGATCTGATAAACATTAATTTGGTTTTGGATTAATTGGTTCATCATGACCATTACGACAATTAGTACCTCAGTTTTTTAATCGAGTTACAATTTCGACTACTAACGCAGCATGATGATGAGTAGCATCTCCTCCTCGTGAAGAAAGGAAAAAGAGTAAAAGAAAAAAGGAGAAAAAAAGAAACACTCATGGCCGACACTGATAGAACACGTCAAACTGTTGCTCGTACGTACTACAAGGCACAGATAATGCAGCATCCACTGATCCACCGGAGAATAATGCTTTACGTACCAAAGCAGCTTCCCGGCCTGGTATCTACAGCCCTTCGATCTGAATTTTTCCTCTCTTTAATTATACCCTGCTAACCCGACCAAGCAAAGTGCCCAAAATGACCAACACTTCAGTCCTAGCTGCTTTTCCTTTCTCTCTATATATAAACTCTCGCTTATTAGCTTCCCTGTACTCAGTATTAATCAGCAACAAATGGCTTCAGATCACTAGACCAGAGTGAAGAGAGAAGGCATGTACTACAGCTAACCCATTATACATTTCGATCTCCTCCTATACATATGATGATATATATATTTGATTCTTGACTTGTTAATTACTTTTCTTTCTATGCTATAGCGCGTGTGTGTTGATTGTCGTAATGTCGATGGTTGTGGCCTCTTACGCTCCGGCGAGCCGGTCGCCGGTGACGCGGGCGTCCTCCGGCGCACGGCGGGTTAGCCATACACAGTCATGGAGGCCGCCGCCGCCGCCGTTCTTCCCGGCTTCCGCCGCCGTCAAGTGCAGGCGGCCTACTCTTCCGGTGGCACGTTCTGTTGGCCCGCCGGAGAAACATCGCCCTGTGCTCAACATTCCTCCCACCGGTAGTGACTCTCCTTCAATTCACTTCTCTGTTTTTTTTTGTTCTTCTCAGCTTTGATTTTCTCTTTTCTAACTGTGGCTAATATACCTAGAAATCAAAATGAATTCAACAAATTAATTGCAATAAAACTTAAGGCCCCTTTGATTCAAAGAAAATTTATAGGAATTTTAGAGGATTTTATTTCTATAAGAACTTTTCCTACATAGCCCTTTAGCCCTTTGAATCAAAGAAATTGATCCTATGGAATCCTATGAAATTCCTATGTAATGTGTCTTCTTATTCAAATTTTGGAGAAAATTTAACATGAGGTAGAACCTCATGGAAAAAAATATTTGAGTCTTTATCTCTCCTCAAGTTCTCATATTTTCATGCAGTTCAATCAAACGGTTATTCCTAATTAAGTTTTTCGTGTGTTTTGTATTTCTCTGTTTTACACTATTCCTGTCAGAATTCTATATTTTTCCTATTACTTCGTTTTTTTCATTCCAGTGATTCAAAGGGGTTTTTAATGTGATAATATGTGATCCAATTCAGCTCTACTGTACCAAGTCCCGCCACCGGAGGGGAAAGAACGGTGGGAAATCAAGGATGACGAGGGCAACGTCCAGCTGTGGTTGCAGGTGCCCGGCCTGACGGAGGACGACCTGGAGATCACCACCACCGACGAATTGCTCGAGATCAAGCGTAAGGCCGGTCGCGGCGACCCGCGGCGGCTCGACGACGTCCAAGGCGTTGGCTCCTTCCATCTCCGGTTGCTCCTGACCAAGGAGTTTGTCAGCAGCCAGGTGACAGCCGAGCTGAAGGCCGGCATGCTGGAGGTGACCATCCCCAAGAACACAAACCTGCGTCGCACCGTAGTCAGGATAGGGCAGCAATCACAGTCTCCAGCTGCAGTTAGAACTGCGCAGCCGAAGGTCGTCGATCCTCCTCCTGCCAATTCGCCACCGAAGAATAATAATCTTGTGAGAAACACAAGTGTGCAGTCGAGGATTGATCCTCCTGCGAGAGAGTCGCCGAAGAATGATCTTGGAGTAGGTATCAGTGTTCAACCGAATGATTCTCCTGCGAGAGAGCCACCCAAGAACAATCTTGCCGGAGGTAGAAATGTGCCAACGAAGGATGATCCTCCTGCAAGGGAGCTACCGAAGAATAATTTGGCCGGAGGTAGAAATGTGCCACCGAAGGATGATCCTCCTGCGAGAGAACCACCAAAGAATAATCTTGCCGGAGGTAGAAATGTGGCACCCAAGGATGATCCTCCTGCCAATGAGGCACCAAGGAATAATCTTGCAGGAGGTACAGGTGTGCCGACGAAGGATCCTCCTAGAAATGCCAATGAGCCGCCAAAGAATCCTCCTGGTACCCGTGAAGCCAACCTAGGATGAGCAAATTAACCGTGGTGGGCATGTGAGAATAAAGATTAGAATAGATTAAACCCCATGAGAGGAGAGAAGATATGTTTATGTACATGGTTGTCATGCTCAGAGGGGCAATTTTCACTGCACGCAGTTGGTTCACTTTAATTTTTATGAAATAAAGTTATTTGATCGATATGATTTGCTATGGTCGACCATTTACCGTTTCAGTGATGGTGTAATGTCCCAGATATCCACATAATAACCGTTAGAGTGCGCAACCTGGCCCACCACCGTGGGCCACCCAAGTCACATTGGGTCTGCTGCTCCACTATATGCCCAACCGGAGCCATAACTTTAGGTCCTGGGCCTACACAACCCAAAAGACTAGTCTGATAGGTGAGAACCGCCCCCACCTTTTAAGTCGTGCTCCTCCATCATCAATTACCGATGTGGGACTAAACCCAACAATAACTATAGTGCAAGAATATCAAAATTCAAACATGAAAACCCTGCTAAGATGAAGAAGAGAAAATGACATAGGGCAAATGAGTAGGGGTCCCGGAGACAATCCAGATTTACGGAATCGAAGAGTGGCTCATTGAGTCATACGATCTCCATCGTGTAAAATCAAAGTGTTTTTCATTCTTTATTTTGTGATGAACAATTGGCATCTGTGATTATTGGTTTTGATATTGGAGATTATTGGCGAAGTGGTTTTGGAGATGATTGATTTTTCAGGTGATGAACAGGGTTACTGTTTTTGTTGGGTCCGGTTAAACTGGGCAGGTGCTGCCAGTCAGACCGGCATGTATCGCGCGGTCAGACCGGCTCAGCCCGCGGTCTGACTGGCCGACTCTGTGTCGGTTTCGGTTTCGGGTTGTTTGTTTGGATATCCGTGATTGTTTCATGTTTATGGCTTCTAGATGGATACTATGCATATGTAATACTGTTCTTTGCTAGTAATGAGTCAAGTTGGAGATAGCTTGGCCTCGGAATATGGTTTCTTTGTTTGATTCATGTGTAGGTGACTTAGATGCCTCGGGAGAGTATTGTCGGTGATGGATCGGGAGTTGACTTGGGGATAAGGCAATGTTCGTGACAGTCAGATATCATGTAAGATACTTAGGCTAGAGGTCAATGCATGTGGTTGGTGAAGATTCCATATGGCATACGATGGAGGTATTGTGTGCGTATGGGATGCGGAGTCGAATTTACAAGGAGTCCAAATTTGGTATGATTGGAGTTTGTAAAGTTTGTTTCTTGTACGGGAAGGTTTCCTAGGTGGATTAGGACTTCTAGTATGAGTTTGGTTCGTGGCATTAGGCTGCCTACATCATGTATAAATAGAGAGAGAGCATGAGGTTTCCCGGTATCGCTTTTGAGAGCATTGAGTTGAAAGTTTAGTTAGGGTTTCGAGTTTAATCGAGATTTTCATGAGGAGTGCTGTTGTTACACTTTGTAAACATAAAGAGAAGTAATAAAGTTGTCATCTACTTTGAGAGTTCTTCGATTTGTGTTTTCTCGGGTTCGGCGGTCTAACCGGCGAAACACCGGCGGTCAGACCGGCGGCATTGTGGTGGTCAGACCGGCGGCGTACTTACGGTCTGACCGTCGACGACATCAGGCGACTTCAGGAGGCAGGGTTTGATCTCAGCGGTTCGACTGATATTACTACCTCGGTTAGACCGACGATCTCCAGGCGGTCAGACCAGTGCGACTACTTCGGTCAGACCGCGATGCGTTGAATTTGAGGGTAACATTTAATTCCGCAAAAAGTTTGGGTTTTTGGGTATACCAACCATTTAACCCCCTCTGGTTGGCTTAGTTCTTGTGTTTCGATCCTACAAGTGATATCAGAGCCTTGTTTTCTTCTTTAGATTTTAACCGATCTAGAGTTTTTGCCATGGCTAATAAGTTTATAACTAAGCCCCATGTTTTCGATGGAACGGATTTTCCTTATTGGTGTAGTAAGATGCAATCTTACATTATGGCTAAGGATCTTGATATTTGGAAAAAAGTTTCTAATCCTTATGTGATTCCTGATCAAATTAATACTGCTGCTTTAAAAACTGAATTTGAAAATAATTGCAAAGCTCACAATATTCTTTTGAGTGGGATTTCTCGTTCGGATTTTGATCGTGTTTCTCATCTTCAAACCGCCAATGAGATTTCGATTGCTTTGAGAAATTTTCATCAAGGAACTACCAATATTAAAGAACTTCATCGAGATCTTTTCAAAAAGGAGTACATAAAATTTGAGATGAAACATGGAGAAGCTTTGGATGACTATCTTTCTAGGTTCAACAAAATTTTGAGTGATCTTAGATCTGTTGATTCTTCTTATGATATAAATTACACACAATCTAAGGTTTCTCGTCATTTTTTGAATGGTCTTGACATGTCTATTTGGGAGATGAAAGTTACATCAATTCAAGAGTCTGTTGATATGTCTACGTTGACTTTGGATTCGCTTTACACAAAACTCAAAACACATGAGATGAATATTCTTTCTCGTAAAGTTGATTCTAATTCTAGTGCTTTGGTTTCTTCTTCGAATTCTTTGAATGTTGGTGCTTCTTCGTTGAATTATACTATTCTTTCTTTAATTAATGCTATGTTCGATGAGCAACTCAAATAGTTCAAGGAGGAGGACTTGGCTTTGGTCACTAACAAGTTTGCTCGAGCTATGAACAATGTTAGGTACAGGAGAAGAGGTGGTCCAAATCGTTGCTTTGAATGTGGTGCTCTTAATGACCTTCGCTCGCATTGTCCTAAGCTTTGAATAAAGGCAAGAAGAAAGACAATGATGGTGAGAAGACCAAGGAGAACAAGCCAAAGAGCACGTTCAAAGGGGAGAAGACTAAGGAGAATCTCAAGAAGATGTTTGAGAAAGTCTATGCCGCTTTTGAGCCTTTAAGCAATATAGATGGAGAAAGTGAAGATGAAGATAAGGGAAAGAACATCTCCGGTGTTTGCTTCATGGCACGTGGTGAATCGGATTCAGAGTGTGAAGACAATGAGGTGAGTTCTTTTGAAGAAGCTATTCTTATTTTAAGTGCTAAAAATAAGAAGTGTGAGAAGATGTATAGGAAACAGGAATTTATTATTAAATCTCTTAATTCTGAAATTGCTAGATTAAAATCTCTTATTCCCAATGATGATGATTGTAAAAATTGTGAGGTTTTAATGAATGAGATTTCAAAAATTAGAGATGTCAATGCTGCACATGATTTGAAAAATAGATCTTCTCTTGCTCTTGGATTTGCCTTGCATACACGCACTTTGGATGAGTTGTTTTTTACTAAAAATTTGTTGAAAAAAATATCAAATTGCTTTTCATGCTAGTTTGATGTTTAACATGATTTGTGCCAAAAAGTTTAAACAACAACATGATGTTTTGGATAGCTCAACATGCACATTAAATAAGATGAAACTAAAAGATGCTTTAGGACGTGTTGAGTACATGGAGGATATTGTGAAAAACAATGAAGTGCTTTCTTGCCCCAAATTTTGTAAAAGCAAAGGTGTCATGGTAGATTGTGAAAATTATGCTAATTTGGAAAAGGAGCTTTCTTATTTGAAAAGTTCTTTGCAAAGATTTTCTGATGGTAAGAAACAACTTAACATGATTTTGGATCAATCTAAAGTGACTAGTTACAATAGAGGAGTTGGTTTTGATGTTCATGAATATTTCACCAAAAATCAACCAAACGTTTTGAGTGTGACTAAATATGGTGAAATTTTGACAAAACCAAGTGCTAAGAAAACAGTTTTTAAGTCTGCTGGAATTTGGCCTTCTCTTTCTACAACACTAAGAGAAACAAAAACAAATCTTTCAAAACCATCTTCTAAAAAAAAGTGTACTTGTTCTTTTTGTGGTAAAGATGGACATATTGTTAGATTTTGTTTCAGATTAGCTCGTAAACAGAAAAAGGAGAGAGAAATTGCAATTGCAAAATCAAAGTGGCAAAAATCTGGTTTTCCCTTGAGGAAATCGGTTAGACCGCAGTGGGTCCCGCCGTCATACCGGCGACTGGTCAGACCGGTGGCTGTGCATCGGTCAGACCAGCTACTATACTTCGGTCAGACCGGCCTTGGAGAGATTTTTCTAAAAATTCTCAAACTGTTTTTGCACGTGGGTACATGCCTATTGGATCTACTGGTCGTGTGTCTCAGTACTGGATTTCTAAATTCTTATTATCTAACCCCAGTACTGAGGCTTCGACATCTTCTTGTGTGTAGGCTTTGGTGGTGAGGAAGGAGAACATGTGGATCGTGGATTCCGGTTGTTCGCGACACATGACCGGTGATAAAAATTGGTTCTCCTCCCTCAAACAGACATCTAAGACTGAATCGATGATCTTTGGTGATGTTTCTACTAGTGCCGTTCTCGCTACAGGTTAGTTCAAGGTAAATGACAAGTTTGAATTGAAAAATGTAGCTTTGGTTGAGGACTTAAAGTATAATTTGCTTTCAGTTTCACAAATTGTTGATGAAAATTTTGAGGTTCACTTTAAGAAAACTGGAAGTAAAGTATTTGATTCTTGTGGTGATTCTATGTTGAATATTTCTCGCTATGGAAGAGTGTTTAAAGCTGATTTTGAAAATCCGGTTTCACATGTGATAACATATTTGGTTGCTAAGTTTAATAAGGATGTGATGTTTTGGCACCGTAGACTTGGACATGTTGGTTTTGATCATCTCACTAGATTAAGTGGTTTGGATCTTGTTCGTGGTTTGCCTAAACTTAAGAAAGATCTTGATTTGGTTTGTACACCGTGTCGTCATGCTAAGATGGTTTCTTCTTCACATGCCCCTATTGTTTCTGTGATGACGGATGCACCGGGATAGCTATTACACATGGACACTGTTGGTCCAGCTAGAGTGCAATCTGTTGGAGGAAAGTGGTATGTTTTCTTAAGGTCAAAACTTGGAAAAACTTCTTATGAGCTTCGATTTGGACATCAACCCAAAGTTTCACGTTTGCGTGTTTTTGGTTGCAAATGCTTTGTCTTGAAATCTGGAAATTTGGATAAGTTTGAGGCACGCTTTACCGATGGAATGTTTTTTGGTTACCCCGCACATTCACGTGGCTATCATGTACTTGTTTTGGAAACTAACAAAATTGTTGAGACTTGCGAAGTTTCTTTTGATGAGGCTAGTCCAGGTACTAGATCCGAAATTGCAGGTACTTTGTCACAGGTT